TTCTCCTGATGTCGACCTCTTCGTGATTGTCCGGGAACCCTACTGTGGTCTGTAAAGGAGGGGCTAATTAGCGTGAGCGATGGTTGCAGGTTGATCGACGACAACGGAGAGAATATCTCCGCCTACGATGTCCCCGGCGAGCTCTGCATCCGCGGCCCCACTGTGACACCGGGCTATCATGATAACCCGGCGGCGAACGAGTCCGCCTTCGGCGCGGATGGCTGGCTGAAAACTGGTGACGTAGCAATATGTGATGGTGTCACGCGCAAATGGTACATCGTCGATCGAAAGAAGGAGCTCATCAAAGTCCGAGGATTTCAGGTGGCCCCGTCGGAGCTGGAGGCTGTCCTGCTGTCGCATCCGGCTGTGGTCGATGCTGCGGTGGTGGGCGTTTGCGATCCGCTTCATGGGAGTGAGAGGCCGCGAGCGTTTGTAGTGGCGAAGCCCGGCGAGCCGCTGCGTGGCGATGAGGTGAGACGGTATGCCGCGGAGCGGTTGGCGGGGTATAAGGAAATCTCTGGGGGTGTTAGGGTTGTGGAGGCCATACCTAGGAATGCGAGTGGGAAGATTCTGAGGCGGGTGTTGCGCGGCCTAGCTGAGTGTGATGCCGAAAGTAGGAGACCGGTTTCGAAATTGTGAATTTGACGGAGATTGGATATTCAGGTGCGTCCGATGTACATTTATGAAAACCAATAACAAGACGCCCCCGCACTTGTGGTCACATGTTGTAGTTTTATATGCATCTCTAAAGCCTCTAGTCTCCAGATCCACCTTCAAAGCCACAGCCAATCTAAATGCGTCTGTGGGAAGCTCGAGAGACAACAACATCGCTCGATAGTAGGGTACAAGGCTCTGGTAGCTTGTTCGTTTCACGACCGCAATTAGTTCGATCGCCTTCATCCTAACGCTCCGGGACTGTTCTGTCGGGAGTAAGGTTTGCCAGCGGAGTAGGATCCAGATCAACTACCCAGGTGTCAGTGTCGGCATGCGGGCAGTAGTTAGTTTCTTGTTGGGTGCCTTAAGGAATCGCTCCGTGCGTGCGGAGAAGTCGCTCAGCTCCATGAAGAGCAGGTTGAAGAAGACGAGACATGCCAATTGACAATTGTTGGTTCTAAGCCTGTCTCCTTAGATCTGTATAGGAGAGCCGCTCTGACCACTAAGTCCGCCAACATGTGTGCCAGGACTTCTCCTGCTAGTCCCATCGCTTCTGAGGCAAAGAGCGCAATGCAGCATTGACTCGGGTTGAAAGGCACTAATGCGTCGGGGATAACTCCATATTGAGTGAACAATTCTGCCTCGCTAACCGGAACGAATTTCAGAATGGCAGATATCCGCTCCGAAAATGCATTTGTGAAGTAGTGACAGGGTTGGATCGAGGAGTACTATATGGGCGGGGTGCTTTTGGTAGTCACGAGGTTCCCACTCAGCTGCATCTATCTGGTGCTGCTAGTACAGAGTCCAGGGCTTCTTTGGTGACAATGAGCGGGAATCCGTGGCGGACATCTCGTCCACAGTACTCGCCGAACCGGTCTGCCGTGAGGTCACGATGTCGCGTATCCGCTGTTCAGTACAGTACGATGGCTATTATTGTGAAAAGGTGACACCCGCATACCGCCGGATCTCCTCCAAGGGGCATATCTCAAGAGCGGGATCTTCTTGAACATTCCATTCAAGTTGATTCAAAATCGACTCGGCTCCATCCTTTTCAAACCACCGGAACCCTCTCGCGAGTAAACCCCCGAACCGCTCCCATCGGGAATCATCGTCGTACGAGCGCGCACTGTAGATGAAAAACCCCCAGATTTCTGCCCTCGTATTGTTCAGCATCGCACGAAGTCCTCAATATCGCCGCCCGGCATCTCACCCATGGTTGAAGGTAGGAGGGTGGGTGAATTTCTCCCAGCCAGAATCGAGAGTACAGAAAGTGTACAGAAAGTGTACAGAAAGTGGGACAAGTGAGTTGCAACCGTCGCCGTGGTTTTAGGGCTTGCGGTCACGTGTCATTCTTTTATCTTCCCATCGATCAAGATTGGTTACTGAGGTTAAGTGAGTGGGTACGGAGGCTTGCTGAAACTTCCAAGCAGTCATCCTGGAGAATGATATCGCCTTATATCTTATTTCCTGGCAAAGAAGAGTCCCTTTCCGCCTCCCGTACATCAGGCCTCCACAGCATAATTGAGCATATCTCCCGTCTCTTCTCTTACGTCGAACTCTCTATTCTGATGTTGAGCTTTCGACCAACAAACTGTTTCGACTCTTGAAAACACCCGGGAATGTATGTCCCAGACCTTCGACGTCATGCGACAAACGATCTCATCGATTGAACAGCAACTACAACACCGTTTTTCTATGAAATTGCGAAATTACTTGATACAAGAAGCCAGTCATATGATACACCCCAGAACAATCATTTGCCAAAGGCAATAGGAAGCCTGCCTAGGGTCTCTGTTTTATTTGGTTCTTTCTATTATTAATAAAGCAAGACCCAGATCGAACTTACATGGGAACCCTCATAAGATCGAACGGTCCACCACCTATAATCTAACGGCAAGGATGCAACCCTACACCTGACGCGAACGTACAGGCAAAGGCCCCCAGAGCCGAATGTCCCCCACCCACTTGACCATAGTCGACCGGTCATTGGGCACGGGTTCGACCCTAGTTTGGGTCTCGGGGATCCTCGGGTGGAGGATGAGCAGGAGATTGCACAGGTCCGGATCCTGGTCAATGTCACTATCATGGACGGGGGGCGGAAACTCGATGGACCATCTCAGATCTTTCCTTTTGTCGCACCACCAGACATCCAAAGGCAGAGTCAACTTCAGCCGATCCAGAATGTCAGTTAAGTGTTCGTGCAGTGTTTCATGCTCCTTCTCCTCGTCTTGTGGCCAGTCTTCAGTGCGGACGACGGCCCGGACCAGCAGATGACGCTCGGACGGGGGGGACGGCTCGATGCGAAACTCCCTCCGACTGTAGCGGTCTTCAATCTGGCTGCGGAGGCCGATGAGCAGCTCCGGGATCGCGAGGTTGACTGGGGCGTCGTAGACCCAGAAGTCGAGATACCACCGGGCTGGATCGGGCGGTGCTTGTGGGGTCGAGGGCTGAGCCTCACCTGTAGATGACGAAGGCATTGGGTGACTCATTGTTCGTACATTTGTCTTTGGTGTTGCGGTTTGAATTGGAAGCTTTCATGATAGGGGACGGGGTAAGTACTTATACCAAAAGGGAGTAGGCTGCTAGAGACTGACGAGTGAAGAATTTCATAATGTGGGATAGAGGTCAAAGACAATTCCTTACGCCACGTGTCAGTAGAGAATGCTAACACTTGCATTATCCGTTGTACCACTTACTGCCTCAGATTGAGGTCATTAATATATGCCCACTGTCAGAACATTCATTCTCGCAAGCGAGTTCTGCGGGAGTACAGCGCTTGGAGTATAATGGTCTTTGGAGTATCTTTGTTTCAGCAGACAATAGTTTCAAGAAAAGCTCTGGGAATGCTCTTTGATCCGTAGTAGGTGATCCCGTGGTTGGAGCAATATCAGTGAGTTCTTCCGAGAGAGGACGTTCCACCAGCTTTATGGATGGCAGCCTTTCAGGGTTGTCGTAACCACATGCCCTTTGTATGGAGCGATATTGTACTTGAAGACGACCATTGATTCGTGCCTGCAGGACATATCAGTCTGTTCTTAGCAAGAGTTCAAACTTTCTGCTCCCCGCAAACTAACATTTATGATACTACGGTTCTTTGATTTCATCTTACACACCCACATCTATGGTTTCACAACAACCCCATGCCTCATGACTGACTGGCTGAGCAGTGTGGTTGCTAATCAAAAGTCATAAACAGCATCAACACAATATTACGTTCCTCCACCAAAGTAGAGATATGGGAAGATTTAATACCACTGACGTGATCTCTACAAATTAAATCGTAAACACAGCTCTTGGTGATGGGGTTTGAGCTCGGACACTGTGCGGTGGGAGCAACATAGGGTTGATTTAGTTGATTTGCAGGGAAGCAGGTCGGCCCCACATGCAGCCTCCTTGACACCCCACTAGGCCCTACGTGGATAAGTAGCACATGAGAGATTTATTCCCCTCAGCAACAGGTTGAAACTATTGAGTCACAGAGCATGCTTTCAAGACATTCGGGGGTGGGAATTGACTGGGCTGCCAGCCCCGCTGCGAAGGGCGCTGGAGCATACATTGATCCGGTTAATCACAAGGTCATGGCCTATTTATCCGTCCGCTCTCAACGGGTGGCATCCACACGCATCTTAGCCTTTGACCGATCTTCCAAATTTAGTATTTGAGAACAGGAAAGACTGAAATTCTTGTAGCAACTGCATACTAAACAACTAGCCGCTAAAAGCCCTATGAGGAAGATTCAGTCGCCCGCTCATGGGTACACTATATCTTGCGAGCGCCGAATCCATACCTTGTAAATGTGTTTATGATCAACCAGTCCATTCCAACTAAAGCGGGAAAGTGGCAAGACCCTCTTCTTCGCGCATGTATGTTCAGATCACCGGCAATCCCTTTCTCACTAAGTAACCATGATCTTTGATGTGCAAAACGTGTTTTGAGTGAATGACCCATGAGCGCATGCACATAAGGACACCTATCAGCTTGTGGCTGTTGATAATCGGCGGACATACTGTGGGTGTCAGACTGACGTGTGATGCCAAGTCCCCGTCCGCCCGCCCAAACAACCCAGCGATCTGCTGCATATTTCAGAGCCATCCACCCAACCAGAGCTCTGGGAGTCATACTCCGATCGACCAAAGGAACCACATTTTATGCGTACATGTACCAAGCACCTACACGGCTTCCCTCCCGACCTATGAATCGCCCTACGCCTTTGCGCAATAGTGACATGGGCCTCGTATGCGGTGCCGCTTGAAATACGAAGCTCGGCTACTTACATTAAAAACCCGGCAGAGGGCCCTAGCATGAATTCTCAGAATCACCTTTTCTAATCCATTGGATACAATTGTTTTTACCCAATAGATACAGTATGCTCTCATCTCGCTTCCTGAAGCAGTCCCTCCGCGGAGGTCTCTCCAAGGCCACCTCCCGGACTCCGCCCGCTGTCCTCCCCCGCCGCCAGTTCGCCATAACCGCCGTCCAGCGGACCCAGATCTCCGAGGTAATCACCAGCGACCACCGCGACCTCGAGGACGCCTACAACCACATCAAGGGCGCCGCGAACGAAGAGGACCAGGTGAAATGGCAGAACCAATTTACCTGGGCGCTGGCCCGCCACTCTCTGGGCGAGGAGCTCGTGATATACCCGTCCATGGAGAAGCACCTGAACAACGGCCCCGAGATGGCCGAGCACGATCGCATGGAGCATCAAGTCGTGAGTTGGACTCGCTCCCATGTCCTTCGATACTACGCTGATGAACATGGATGCACCAGGTCAAAGAACTCCTCTACAAATTCCAGGGGCTCAAGCCCACCGACCCGGAATTCATGCCGGTGCTGGAGAACCTCTGGGGCAACCTCGCACAACACATCAAGGAGGAAGAAGGGAAAGATCTGCCGCAGCTGGAGAAGACCTTGGACGAGGGGGAGTCTCGGCAGATGGCGGCCTCGTTCCACCGGACGAAGCAGTTTGTGCCGACGAGGAGTCACCCCAATGCCCCGAACAAGCCGCCTTTTGAGACCGTCGCGGGGTTGATGGCGGCGCCGATGGATAAGATTAGGGATATGTTTAGGTCATTTCCGGAGACGAAGGATCAGGCGACCAAGTAAATTCTCATGGGGGGTGGGGAGGGTGGCTAGGATGCTGTATTATTTTCGAGATCACTGTACTGTATATTGAACACGATGTAAATGAATATGAGTTTGCTTGTTGACTTGGGGACACACAATTAGACGTACGAAAATGTACTTATGTCTACGAAGTCTGTTGTGTATTGGCATACGTCCATGCCCAGCTCTGTGGGTCGGGCCAAGAATCCTAATGTCCAGAGGGAAGCTGGTAGAAATGAGGACTGGGCTATTCGGATTCAGGCGAGGCCCGGTAATCTGTGGAGGGCGCATGGCCCTCCACAATAGTCACAAGCGTCCTGAACAAGGGAAATTGGACGCCTAGCATCAATCGATTGGCATGGTTTTCCTTGTTGGGCGATTTTGCTCTTAATGGGTCTGGCAGCCTAAGGCACGAAAACAAAACCCCCGGCGGCCGGCCAGACGAGTCTAATTTTCGACTAACCTACCATCTCTTAGTCTGGATCGGGGTATCGCTAAGAAGCAATTGAATCATATTGGGTCAGTGCCTGTATATTCTGCAACATAGAGGTAACGAAGTGCGCATCTCAGAAACTCGGCTGCTCCGGATATTTGCTACTGCCTGCCTGGTCAGCACTTCGGATCCATCCGATCCTAGATTGAGCCCTAACCGGGCTCTGACCTGGACTTGTTACATCAAACCCTGCGAGAGGATACCACACCACAATTATAGCAATCGAAACCGAAGCACACGACCCCATATTCCCTAGGCAACCCTTTCTATCGCCCCATTTCGGGGAAAATTGACTTGCAGGGTCAAATTGGCGCGCCACTGCCAGCTGAAGTCCGCCGGGAAACCTCCAGCGAGTCGTAGTTGGTCTAGTAGCTTCCGGCTACACCTGCCATAATGTTGATATTGTAGGTCCCCATCATCCCTCGGAGCTCGTCGGGGCAACATGCGACATGTACACGGTCCAACGGTTAACCTAGCCCTGAGCCCAGGCCGGACAGGACACGGCCAGCCCGCAGTGCAGGAAAGGAGCCGAAGTTAGCTGCTACTAGGCTGGCGCCGATTGTATACATAATAGCAGCCAGAAGAATGACTGCCCGACCGTACCGTCACTGATGGGACCGAAGGAAATGACACCTACTGTTTGACCCTATCCCGTATGTTAGCCTCAATTTCCCAACGAAATCTTGAGGAGGGTAGAGTCGACTTACCAGGAGCATCGAAGACACTGCCCAGCCTATGTCATTTGAAGTCCGAGAAGCTGTTGAATCCGTCCAGCCAAGATCCTGAAAAAACGGGGCCAGGCTCATGGTCCCTGAGATGTTGAAGTGTTGAAGCCATGAAGACCAACCACCGCCGTAAGAGGCCCTGATGACGGGAAGCCAGATTTAGGGCTTCCGGGCAGCTTTGGGGACATTTGGAAAGGCGCACTTGCTGAAACCGCCGCATGGTGCATTCATGGTCAAGAGCCAGTCACGGTAAAGGTAAGTAGAGAACAGTGAAGTGGAGAGTTGTCTGAATGGCTGCTAATTCGGTACAGGAAGAGGTATTTCCTTGGGAAGTTATGATAGCACAACTGTCACGGCCACAAGTCTAGATGTACTGATACCCTACGCATTGACAGTTACCCCATTCCAGCCAACAGAAGTCCGGGGTGCATGGCACGAGATGCGGAGGTGGGTCTTTTAATTTACGGGGAGTCGAGACAAAGCGTGTCTTCATTACCGTCGCAGGATAGCTCCGAAGACGATTCCGGGAACATTCCGGATATTGAGCGGGGCTGGATTTGGCCACTGGACTCGCTGCCCCAGACCTTGAATCCGGGTTAGACAATGCCGGTCCACAGTTTCGAGAGTACTATGTGGTCTCCAGGTCACGGCTCCCTCTGCGCCTGCATTGTTCCATACCTTTACCTTTTGTTTTCTCTATACATGTCCCCCTGTCATGGTCAAGAGGGTATAGACGTGAATCCGTGTCATCGATCATAGCATCATCTCCAAATAATGACATTCCCAGATGATAAGATGCTTATTGGTTAATTCTCTATTCTGAGTACTATTATTCTAAAGTACTGTACATTCCAATCATCCCCACCCATCTCATGAGAGAGCAGTCGCTTTGATATGGTTCAAGGCGCTTCCAGCCCGTAGCCACGCAATCTGACCAGCGTGATAGCTATGATTCAACTTGGCCTCCCATGCCTGACCCTCCCGGGGTGTAACTCGCATAACCACCTGCGAGTGCGGGACAAGCTCGCCCTCCTCAACACCAATCAATGAAATCCGGTCGCCCTCGGCAATACGATCGTATGTAGCTGGATCCTCAAAGGTTAGAGGCAGCATACCCTGCTTCTTCAGATTGGTCTCGTGAATTCTCGCGAATGAGCGTGCGATCACTGCGACTCCTCCCAGATACCGGGGCTCAAGGGCGGCGTGCTCCCGCGAGCTGCCTTCGCCGTAGTTGTGATCACCCACAATGCACCACCTCACTCCTCGCTGCTTGAGGTTCCGCGCTACCTGCGGGACAACCTGCAACTCGGCCGTGATGGGGTGGCGGGTATGACCCAGTAATTGCGGGTCGTCCGCAGGGAGGAAAGCATTGGTTGCAGTGGTAAGCATGTTGTTGCTAATGTTTTCCAGATGGCCCCGGTACTTGTACCACGGACCGGCTGGGGAGATATGATCTGTCGTGCATTTGCCCTTCACCTTAATGAGCAGCTCCATCGTCTGTGCCGCGCCCTTCTGCCAGGCCGGGAAGGGTTGCAGTAGCTGCAAGCGCTCAGAGTCGGGATGTATAGCCACCGCTTCAGCGCCCCCGTCACTCGACGGAGGCTGGAACAGATCCTGTCCACTTTCGAATCGAGTGGGCAGTTCCTCGCCGACCGGAGGGCTCAGTCGCACATTGCCCTTATCTGAGGCGATACTATCCGTCAGCGGGTTAAAGTCCAATCGCCCGCCGTAGGCAAACGCAGTCACCAGTTCCGGTGAGGTGACAAAGGAGTGCGTCGCTGGGTTGCTGTCATGACGACCGATGAAATTGCGGTTGAAGCTCGAGATCACCGAGTTCTTCTGCTTCTTTGCCACATCCTTGCGGTCCCAAGAGCCGACGCAGGGTCCGCACGAGCTGCTCAGAACCTTGGCTCCGGCATCGCGTAACTCCTGCAAGATACCATCGGCCTCAGCTGTCGCGCGGATGCGTTCACTTCCTGGGGAAACCATGAACGGGGTCTTGAACTTGGTGATACCCGCTGCACGGGCCTGCGACACGATCTGACGGGCTTTGTCCAGGTCTTCGTATGAGCTGTTGGTGCAGCTGCCGACCATGGCGTGGCTCAGCTCCACGGGCCAATCCTGCCCGGCCACCGCGTCCTTCAGCTTCGATATCGGGTGCGCCAGGTCGGGGGTGTATGGGCCGTTGACGTGGGGCTCCAGGGAGGTCAGGTCTAGCTCGATGATCTGGTCATAGTAGTCGTCCGAGCCCTCATCTGCCGTCAACAAAGTGGATCTCGTGTTTCCAGCCTCGATCCGCTCCGCACTGTCCGCTCGTCCGGTGGCCTGCAGGTACCGGCCCATAGCATCCGAGTACGGGAATATGCACGAGGTGGAACCGATCTCGGCGGACATGTTACAGACGGTAGCCATGGCTGTTGCGCCCAGCGTCTGCGTGCCGGGGCCGAAGAATTCAATAACGCGTCCTTTACCCCCGGAGACGCTCAACAGGCCCGCCAACTTGCATATGATATCCTTCGTGGAGGTCCAGCCCTGCAACTGTCCTGTCAGCCGCACACCCACCACCTTTGGCGCCACCAGCTCCCAGGGCATCCCCGACATTGCATCTACGGCATCCGCGCCTCCAACCCCGATCCCCAGCATCCCCAGACCTCCCGCATTTGGGGTATGTGAATCCGTTCCAATGATGAGCCCACCAGGCCTATCCCCGTTAGCTCATGCCTGTAACCCCCAGCCCTTTATCGAAGTCAAACTTACACAGCGTGATTCTCAAAAATAACCGTATGAATAATCCCCGAACCAGGCTTCCAGAACCCGATCCCGTATTTCTTCGACGCACTGCTCAAGAACTCATACACCTCGCGATGCTCCGTCTCTGCCCGTCGCAGATCCTCTTCCGCCCCTTTCTCGGAGATGATGAGGTGATCGCTATGCACGGTGGTGGGCACGGCCACGCGGGGCAGTCCCGCGCTGATGAACTGCAACAACGCCATGGTGGCCGTCGCATCGTGGCACGCCACCCGGTCCGGGCGCAGCTCCAAAATGCTGTGCCCGCGCTGGATCTTCTCGAGATTCCATTCGCGGTTGCCGGAGGTGATCAGGTGGCTGTAGAGGAGTTTCTCGGTCAGGGTGAGCGGCCGCTTCGAGCCTTGCTTTAGCTGCTCGAGGGTGCGGAGTTGGTGCGCGTAGTTGACGGCGGAGTGCTGTTGGTGATGCAGGTCAGCAAACAGACATCCCTATAGGGGTGAATGACCTATTCTGGGGGGGTAATCTCACAGCAGAAGCCGCTGGTTGCGTCGCATAGGTTCTTGTGCTTCGGATCTGGAGATGGTGGTGCGCGCGGTTAGTCCCGCGCAGGGAGGATGGGAGTCGCTGCATCGTGATTCGGGGTGTCAATGGTTTCCATGCATTGTTTGAGGATATGAAGACAGGAAGAAGTTGCGACTGAGTCTGCCATTTTCTCTTCATTTGAAATCTCTCCTACTACTCAGATGTTTGTACACTCCGCCAGCTTTTTTGGAGACGGTCTGGAGAAGCCCGAGTTCGACCGGGTTGGTCCGGGGCAGTGTACGGAAAGATTACAGCTCAATACCTCCACCACAATAGAGATATATTGGATATCGAGGGCGATAAGCGGTGGATTTCGAATCAATAAAAAGACCATATTACTTGTTCCTGTCTTCTATTGGTCATAGCGCTATACAATAGACATTTCTCAGCTCTAGGTCGAGGTGTGAAGTCTTCATGTTGCATCGCGAAGGTCTACGTCATTTGTACAATACGCGTAATTACCTATGGTTAGACCTACAGTATGCCCGGAGTAGCCCGG